TCTGGGATTGGTGGTGTCGCACAACCAGATGTCGATGGACCCCATTAAGGTGGCTGGTGTCATGAAATGGCCTACTCCCCGCAACATCAAGGAAATTCAGTCCTTCATCGGCTTCGCCAACTTCTACCACCGCTTCATCGCCGACTTTTCGTCTATCGCACGTCCACTCTTCGACCTTATGAAGAAGACGGTGCCTTGGAACTGGGGTCCCGAACAGGAAGAAGCGTTCAATCGCATGAAGCAGGCCTTTACATCCTCCCCGGTCCTCCTGATGCCTCGCACTGACCAGCCATTTTGGGTAGAGTGCAACACTTCCGACTTTGCCATAGGCGCTGTCCTATCCCAGGTTGGGGACGATGGAGACTGGCACCCGGTGGCTTACCTCTCGCATGCGCTATCACCTCCCGAGCGGAACTACAACACCCATGACAAGGAGCTCCTTGCAATCATCTGCGCTCTCGAGGATTGGCGTCACTACCTTGAAGGATCCCCACACCAGGTCGAGATCTACACAGACCACAAGAACCGCGAGCACTTCACCAAGATGCAGAAGTTGAACTGTCGTCAGGCCAGATGGGCTTTGTACCTTACGCGCTTCGACTTCATTCTACGCCATCGACCTGAACGCCTCAACCACGCGGATCCCTTGTCACGACGTGCCGACCACCGCGAAGGCGTTGGGTTAGGAAAACTCCAACAGGGTCCTGTTCCTTGCAGCCGATCTTGCCATCAACACCACACAGCTCGTGTCCCTGGACAATGTGAAGCAGCACATTTTGGAGACAGAGGCAAAGAACAAAGAGGTGGTGGAGGCTATGCGGATCATAGAGCAGGAAGGTCCAGCGGCGCTCAAACGGAAGTTGGATGGTTGGGAAGAGAAGGACGGTCTCATCACGTATAAGGGACGTCTGTATATCCCGGATGACAAGGATCTCCGTCGGGAGATCGTTTGTCTCTGCCACGACACACCAGCTGCTGGACACCCAGGTCGGTTTAGGACGATTGAGTTGGTATCAAGGGACTTCTGGTGGCCAGGTATGTCCTCTTTCATCCGCGAATACATCAGAGGCTGTGCCACTTGTCAGTCTATCAAGATCCGCAACAACCCACCGGACATCCCCCTACGTCCCAATGAGGTTCCTACACGACCCTCCCAGATTATGACCACGGACTTCATCGTCGATCTCCCGGAGTGTCAAGGCTACGACTCAATTGCCGTCTACATGGACCGGGGATACAAGATGGTCTACATCGCGCCCACAACCAAGACGGTGGATAGTTTGGGATCGGCATCCCTCTTCATGCACTACGTCTTCCCACATACAGGTCTCATGGAACAGCTCATCTCAGACCGGGGTAGTCAGTTTGCCAGCGATACCACGCGCACGCTCCTGACCAAGCTTGGGGTCACGTCCTCCCTCAGCACCTCGTACCACCCCCAGACGGATGGCCAGACGGAGCGCTTTAACCAGGAGCTGGAACAGTACCTTCGCACCTTCTGCAACCACCGGCAGGACGATTGGGTGGACTGGCTTCCCATTGCCCAGTTCGTACATAACTCCCAAGTCCACTCCGCGACGGGCAAATCACTATTCGAGCTCCTCTACGGCTTTGCACCCCACGCTTACCCTCCACTGGTCACGTCCTCGCGGTTCCCCAAGCTCACGGAACGGCTCGGACACCTGGAGTCAATCCGTGAGGAGGCGCAGGC